CAATTAAGGGATTTGTCCAAAAGGCCTTTTTCCTCAGACATCACGTACAGTAACACATACCTCGTACCATTCTCAGGTATGGCAACCACATTTCGCTTGGCTGCTCACGCAGGGATTTTCCTCTCGCTTTACAGCGTTGCGTTAGCTTGGTGAAACTTTGCCTACACTCACTGCTCCTTCTCATTGATGTCCATGAGGTAGGTCTTACTTCAGTAGTAGAACGCGGCTGGTCTTTCCGTACGTTCTTCTGTCCTTCTGTCGAGTCTGGTGTTCCGGGCTCTACACCATCACTCTCGCCTGCTCCAGGCGTACTTTCTTGTTGGGTGAAACTTCCACCGGCTTGTGTCTGGTCTTCATACGTACTTTCCGGGATCGCTGGCTCGATCCTTCCTTCGACGGCTGCACGTCCACGGTTCGTAGCTCGTCGGTTTCCTTTACCACACAACCTAGGTGGCATGTACTCCAACGATCCGGTTCCTCACGTGGCGCGCTCTCCTTGGGTACTTCTTCTCCGCATACCACTTTCATTCCAACTGTGGTCTCCTTGTTCGGCTGCTGGGCTTCTGTCGTAGTTCTTTCTCCACTGGTTTTCCGCATACTCTCTGATGCATTCGCTACACGCGCAATTCTGGTGTCCGACTTTGTTCCTTGAGCATACTCTTTCATTACACCAAGAACATCGCTGGGTACAACTTCTGCTCGTTGTACTTTCCTCTTCTGTAAGTTCCCATTCTTCATCATCCACGGTACTCTCTTCTTCCTCTGTTCGCTCTTTCTTCTTTCCAGGTCGAGCTTCCGGCCAGCAAATGTAACACGGGCGGTAGCCTTGCTGCCGTGCTGTTTCCTCTGCCATATACAGGAAACTTCCAGTACGTGGTACACTGTGGTACACCTTGAACATATCTACAGCTTTCTTTGTGAAATACGCGGCTGCGACTTTGGGAATGAATCTTGACCATACCCACAGCTGCCAGATTCGTCCATACACGGCGGATTTTCTGTACCCCTGTCCAGACATGTGGTAGTACTAGCAATACCACCATCACAAGCATACTCACTTCGAATTTCGAATACTTGGCATCCTCCATTGCGTCGGTACTTGAGGATTCTGGTGCACTACACCTTTCTCATTCGGTCCAAACTGCAGTTGCGGGCTTGATCACGCTGAATACCTGAATCAGTCTGATGAGTGCCCACATACTCTTTCAGCTTCTTTTCCTGTTCGCGCCCTTCGTACTCATCCACTCCAGTGTGAGTAATTTCTCCTCCTTCGGAGTACTCTACTTGGGATAAGAAATACATGAGGAATGCTCTTCTGGCATACGTCAACTTCTTCGTGTTCAGATCGGCAACATTCAATACTGTCTTTACAGTTCCAATACTGATGGTGTTCTCTCTGACCCAATCTTGTAG